GTTTGTTGTCCGAAGTCTTGCGTGGACCTTCTTTTCTCTGACGGTTGTAGTTGCGTATCCAACAGTGTTGCGAACGATGGGTTGTAGGTGTTCCGTCGTGGTGCCCATGGTGTGCCGGAGACTTTGTTCAACAGTGCGAGGTCGTATTTGAAGTCCGGTTGTAGTCTCCGCACTGTTCGTACCTTTTGTACGCCTGATTCCGTTGCGACGTAGTTTTCTCCGGTTTCGGAAACTTTTCCGAGCCAGATGCATTTCTGCATCCGTAGGTCTGCTTTTGGGAGTTTCTTGTGTTGTGGTGGAAGGTAGAGTAGTGTCTCGCCAAATTCGCAGATTGCTCGCTCGTAGTTTCTTCCCCAGCGGCGTTCAAAGCTTGTGTAGCCGTCTGAGTGGATGACGTAGCGATGTACCGTCCATGCTGCATGTCGTACTATCCAAGGTAGTAGACAGTGCTTTGTGGACATCGTCATGCTGTAGTTGCTTTCAACTTGAGCTTTGACGACGCGGGTTTGTCCGAGAAGTGTTCTATGTAGTCGCTCAACGCTTCCTTGACTGTTGCTGCTGTAGGAAGGTGAATGTCGTACACTCATTGTGCCGACTTTTGCTGCTGTAGCTTTTAGAAGTGCGTTGAGTGTGTCTTCGTTGTCACTTTGTAGTATGCCTTGTGTTCTTCCGCACTCAAAGATGAATGCTTGTAGGTTGTTGACCATGTAGTCCATCATTGATGCTTTGTCTGGAACCAATACTGCCATATACAGTTGTGTAGTAACATCAACTGCTGTCAGTACCGGTGTGGTCTTTGGGTCTTGTTGTGACTTGATGTAGGCAAAGTCTACTTGAATGACAGGTTGTCGTGATTGTTGTTTCTTGTAGTTGTCTTGGCGTCCTTTGCCTTGAACGCAAATTGGACACCAGTTTCTGTATGGTAGATGTGTAAGGTTGTGTTCTGCTATTTGTTGTGGAGTGGGCTGCTGTGGTTGTCGTAGTCCTCTTGCTCTGTGTGCTTCATGATGCTCGTGTTGTTGTTCTTCATCGTGGTTCTCCTGGATGTACTCGTAGTCTTTCTTCACGGTGAACCTTGTTGTTCCTTTCCATTGAAATGGTAGTGCTGCGTTGCCCATGACTGTCCAGTCATCTTTGCGTTGTGAAACTTCTCCAAAGTTGTTGTGAGTGATTGTAGTTCTGTAAGGTTCAAGTGTGTTGATTGGTGGATGTCCTGGTCCATCTGTTGGAGTGAAGAGAGTTGTTCTAAGCGTTGTGTGGTGTCGTATCCAGTGTTCACCTTGTCTTTCCCAGTAGTCTTGGTTGTCCTCCTGTGCGGTGAGTGGTCTGTGTATTGTCTCCTTTGGTTGTGTGGTGTCAAGATTTGTTGAAGGTGCTGCTTTAGGTCTCCATATCTTTTGTGGTGCTCGTAGTTGGATCTTTGATCTGGTTGGTGGTGTGTCCATGAGCCGTTGTGGTTGTGAGCTCTGCCTTGTTGGTGTGGTCTTTGATGTTGCTCTGCGTGTAGGTGTTATCTTTCTTCTGAATCGGGCTTCTCCAGTCCAATTGTCACCTTCTAGTCTTCGTTGTAGTTCTTGCTTGGAAAGTTGTGTTGGGTTCTCTTGTAGTTGTTCTTGCTCTTGCCCTTGTCTGTTGATGATGGTTAGTCTCCAATCATCTAGTTCTTCTTCTGGTATTGGGCAGCCACTGTTGTGTGGTGTGAACAGTGCTTTGCGTGGTCGTTTGTGTACTCTGATGGCGTAGTCACCATCAAGTTTCCAGTAGTCAGTGTTTCCACCAAGGATCTGTCGTAGTCCTTGGTCTGTGTGTGTGAGTGGTGCGATTTGTTCTTGTTGTTGTGCTGCTCTCTCTGTAGGTTGAATCACAGCAATGGATTTTCCATTGTCTGTAGTCATTGGGTAGATGTCGAATCCTGTAGGAATGTCGATCTTCTCTGCTCGTAGGTAGAAAAGTCCTGAGTGTCTTATGAGGTGTGCTTGTTGTTGTCCATGTGTGATGGTGCAGTGTCGTGGAGTGAAGTCAAGTCCATATCCTCTATCAAGTAGTCTTGATGCGCTGAGGATTGGATACTTCACATCACAAACGTAGTAGGGTATCATGATCCTGAATTGTCCTGCTTGTAGGGAACGTACTTGATGCCGTAGACTGGAATCTTCTTGTTGGTCACCGTGTAGAGTTGTGGAACTGATTCTCCACAGGGTCGTAGTGGAAGATCCGGTGCGTAGTCCTTTGGGCAAACATGTGTAGATGCTCCTGAGTCGATCAACAGGTGGTGGTATGACTTGAAGTTGGAGTACATGATGTAGTGGGTGATAGTGTCCTCAATCTTCTTGTTCCTTTGTTGTTGTCTTGCTGCTGCTATGTCGAAGTGTAGCTTTGTGGTGTCTTCTTGTAGGAATTGTTGAAAGCTCTTGCTGTGGTCGTTCCATGATGTTGTGTGTGTTGTTCTCTTGCCAAGTAGTGATTTGGATTTGTGCTTGTGTAGTCGTGATTTTGCTTGTCTGATGTATCCAATGGTGAGGTGTGACTCGTTGATGCCTCCAATGTAGTTCGCTGTGTCCTCATAGCTGTTGTCATTCCAATCCCAGCTGTTGTCATAGTCGTAGTCGTTCCAGTTCTCCTCCATGTAGTTCACCTCATGTTGTCCTTCTTCTCCTTCGTAGTACCAGTCCCAAGTGTCGTTCACATCCTGAGGTAGTTCATCATTGTTGTCGTGATCTGCTTGTTCTTGTTCTAGTGGATGTAGTTCTTCTCCTTCTCCTATGTGCCATACCGGCACTCTGCAGTCTTGTGCCCAGTGGCCGGGCTTGCCACATCGATGGCATGTTGTGTAGTTGTTGCTTCCTTTTCCTTTTGATTTGCTGTAGTTTCCTTGGCCTTTGTAGCCTTTGCTTGATCCATATCCTTTGGATCCTGAGTAGCCTTTTCCTTTGCTCTTGTTGTATCCTCCTTTGTTGTAGTTTCCTTTGTTGCCTTTGTCGAATCCTTTGTAGTGTCCTTTACTCCTGTACTTGCCTTTGCTCTTGCTTCCTTTGTAGCCGCCTTTTCCTTTTCCTTTGCCTTTGTAGCTTCTTCCTTTCCTCCATATGTTGTCAACATCCATTGGTGCAGTTCCTCCATTGTAGTTTGTTCCTACTGCTGAAGTAGATCTAGTGAAGGCTGAAATCGTTTTGTAGTAGTCCAGGATGAGTGCTCTGATCTCGATGTAGTTCGTGATCTGTCCAGCTCGCAGTTGGAGGTGTTGCTGCAGTGCTCCTTTGGTTTTGTTGAGTAGTATTGCTATTTTGATTCCATCTGGTAGTGCTGTTCCATTGTCTTTCTCGTAGCGGTTGATGTCGTATTCCCATTGTAGAAATTGTTCTTCAAACTGCGCTTCGTTGAATGTGGGTTCCAGTAGTTTGGTAAGGTAACCAACGCTCCTTGTTCCTACTGGTAGGCTGAACCTGTTGTGCAGTAGTCGTAGTGTTTCACATCCGTTTGCGTTGTAGCGGTTTTGCCTTACTACTGTAGCTGCTGCTCCCTGACAGATGTTGATGAGGATGTAGTGTAGATCTCTGGAGAGGTCTACTGCTTTGCTTGCTTGTGTAGGGTCGAGTATGTGTGTTCTGATGTCTGTGTCCTCAATCTGTCGTGTAGCCACTTGTGCTAGTTGTAGCACCAGGTCGAAGTCTCGGTCTATGAGGCCGAGGTATGCTTGTAGCTTGAACAGCCATTCTTCATACTGGGAGTAGTCACCAGTGAAGAAGGGTGGTGGCAGTTTGTATCTATGTAGTCTCTGAACGTCGTTGTCTTGTTCTGTTCCTGCTCCCGTAGTCGTGGCTCCTACTGTGTCTGCTGTTGGCCCGTTCTCTGCTCCTGTAGTTTGTTGTGCTGAGGCTGATGCTGCTTCTCCTGACATGTCGTAGTAGTTTGGCATGTAGCTGCTGTTGCTCTGTTGTTGTAGTACTTACTGCTTACTGGAGCTCCCCTATGTTTAGGATCTCAGCTCCGCTACCACGTTAAAATCGGTTGTTACTTTGCTTACAAGTGCAAGTGTTGTAGTGTTCAAACAAACAGTCAACCAATGTAGTCTGCAGCTGCCAACCTTTTGACTCATGCGGAGTAGTAAGCTCAAGGCCTGCGGTAGTGAACATACATGCAACAAGAGTGCAAAGTGAAGCATGTAGTTTGACAAGAGAGAGAGAGAGAGAGAGAGAGAGAGAGAGAGAGAGAGAGAGAGAGAGAGAGAGAGAGAGAGACAGAGAGAGAGAGGGAGAGAGGGAGAGATAACACAAAGGACACCCAGGAGATTGAATAGTCAAAGTGCCTCATTTTGCCACCTGCACAGCCAAAAAGATTGCTAAAACCCTCTAAACGAATCCCAAAACGGCCACCCTCGAACACGGAACTGTGCTCATGTGCATTGTGTTCTGAGGCCAGCTTCAAGGCGACTCCGCTGCAAGACGGCAGCGGCAAAGCGACTTCCTTTGAGAAAAGTCGTGCGCAGATTCATTTAGATAGGAGCCCGCTGGGTACCCCTGAATCGCCTGAAAATAAGATGGTTACACCTATGGAGCGTGTGTGTGGTATGTTGGGGTTCCATTCTGCCCAAGGGCACCTGGGTTTGGCCCTAAAGGGGGAGGGAATATGTCAGGGATTTCTGTTGGCACCAAGGGTGCAGCGTCAACTGCAAAACCGCCACCAATCGGCCCTGTTGGCTGGCCCAACTTGCTGCGAGAAACACATCCATGACCGCGGTCAGAATGTGTTGCACTGGGATGTACATTGGCTCTTCCAGAATTGCCCATAAGATCATCATCACGAAGTCATGCATGTGTTGTTTTTCAAACTTGGAATTTGAGCCACCTAGCTAAAAGATATCGAGCCTGTAAGCAGAGCAAATAGTGGCTTATTTTACAAATGAGCTGGGCGTCTTGCGCATTCGGACGCACCCCAATGCCAGTCGCACGCATTCACCGAACAAATGTATGCAGCACGTGCCTTTGCCACGTGCTGCGCAGGACCTCTCCATCACCCGCATTATTCACCAACAGCAGAGTGCTCGGCTTGCTCACGTGAGCTAGGGCTGAATAAAGGCTGCCTGGATAGGAAGTTGTGTCTAGACGCTTTGATTCAACCCACTTCAGGTTTCGAACGCCAGACAAATCTGCCGGGGCCTCGAAGCGCAGCGCTGGTTCCATTTTTGGCGTGAGCCGTGCAATGCTTCACGCACTACATGAAGAGAGGGAGAGGCCACCTTCTGACATTTGCCGAGCTCGGCGATCCCGTCGCTTCAAAAGCCCAGGCATGGCCCCCGGAATGGCGGAGCCTCTCCGCACTCTGGCAGAAGCAGCAGTGGAAGCACACGCCTCAAATGATCCTCTTGACAGGCAACCTGAATGTCTGGACCATGCATAGGGAGATCCGACGTTGATTGAAAGGGCCTTCTTAAATTCGCACCAGCATTTCAGGTGCCCAGGTATCAAATGGGGCAGGATGCAGACTGATTCGAAACGGGCTGAGGTGGCAGTTCTGGACGGATGAGGATGAGGCAAGCAGGGTGCAGCCCCCTGTACTGTTTGTCAAGCTGTTTAGTTGGTTCTGTTGCCGTGGGACTTGGAGTTACGAAAGCATCCTGAAAGTGCGCCTTTTGGACATTATCATATTTCATGGACCTTGCAAAAGTATCTCGGATTTCTTGCCCGTGTGCAAGATGGCCGCTGCTTGGGCGATCGCATAGCCATTGGGAAGGCCAAGCTCTTTCACGAAGACTTGCCTGAGTTCGAAGAGCTTTACCACTGGATTCCCAACTGTTCCTCGCGCGAGCAACTTGAGCATGTGACACATGAGCTTGACTCATACTCAGTTGCCCAAAGCCAACCTTTTGACCTTTTGGTTTTCCCATTTTGGTTGATTTTTTGTAGAGGTATTAAAAGGTTAACCTTTTGTTTCCAACTCCGTTGGGCAAGTGAGCATAGGGCCGCTAGCGTTGGATCACCAAGCTGAATTCAACCAAGGCTTGCAAGCCAAGATCTCGCAGGCAGGGATCGATGTTGGTCTCTCGGTTGCCTTGTGAGCCATAGCCTCGGGCTATTCCTTGCTCGGGCGGGCGTCAGGCAGACTTGTCCACGTATGCAATTCTCTATGTACATGGTGGCGCTAGATCCTCAGAAAGGCAAAGGCCACGTCTTGAGCAAACTTGACGCACGTGATTTTCATTTGCCAAACAAACTGCAGTTTCTCTATCACCTGAATTGGAGATTGAGCCCACGCATGGCATGATTGGACCAGCTGGCGACTGAAGGTTGCGTTCAGGCCTCCAGGGTTCTGAATGGTCACAGGATAGAGAGATCAGAGAGAGAGAGAGAGAGAGAAAGACGTACAACAGCGTTGTGGAAGTTTTAGGGGAGCATTCGGCAAAATGTGGGATGACGAGAGTTGAAAAGGGTAGTTTTCCCTCATCACTGTCATTCCTAGTCCCTGCTTGTCCACTTTTGCAGAGCTCCATGCTTATGCATTTGATGCAGCACCTGAATGTAGCTGCAGGTTTATGCAGACATGGCAAGGCACTTAGTTGCCTCAGGTGACTGCGAATGGTGCGGATGTTGGCCCCCAAGCACTTAACAAGTGTTGGCAAAAAGCGGGGCCATTCACAACTGGAAGCATGGCACTGCCTGACCTAGCACCGACTTGCTCAGCCGGCAAAGCATCATGCACACTCCAAGATCAAACCGTCGCTTTGTTCATGCTTGTCCAAGGTCCCAACCACATTCCCCTTTCCCCCTGCAACGCACAGCGCCCAAATGCATCGCGGGTAAAGGGTGCGGCAGGATGAGAACGCGGGTTGCGACCGGGGCTCCCAGGACACCGCCCCGCTGGGGGACTTGGAGATCTTCCTGCAGAGCGCCAAACGCGCCGCCGGAAGGTGGCACCGGGGACCCCTTGTCACGATTTACATCAAAGCTTTGCACAGGCAAGGAAGACATAGATCAGAGATGGCAATCACTGTCTCCGGGCTCACTGTACAATGTCATTTCTTAGCACCTGGCCTCCTAATACCTGTTACACCTGCCTACCTTTAACAAATCCAATTTCGCTCGGAATTGGATGTCTGACCACTTGATCTGTATTGGGCTACCAATCGCTGCAGCACGATCGCCAGGCACGTCGCAGTGGTGGTGAACATCGCGCGGCCCGATGACGGGCTGCTGGAAGTTCGTGGGGTTGGAGGCGCCGGGTAGCCCCTGAGTAGATCCATTTTTTTTCTTTGCAGGCAAGGATGGAGTCCCGAAAGGTGTCCTTGAGAAGATGTTTGCAGGTGGATTCACTCTTCCAGGATTTGGATGGCTTCAGGGTGCACTCCACTTTGTACGGGTCATTGATTTCGACTGCAGAGCTCGTTGCTTTATTGCGAAGTTGGTCAGCTTGCCTTCAAGAGATGATGGCAGGGGCTATTACAAGGTCAGCGCTTGTTTGTCACTTGGCTTTTGAGGATAGAACTCAGAATCACTCACAAGTCAAGCGTTGTCATGGTGTTCCTTGTTGTGACCATGGCCAACTTTGAGAGTACGTCGGTCGCCTTGAAGTATAATGTGGCCAGAGGTCAAAGAGTGTCACTTGAATGACTTGCAAGGAAGCCTGGTCAAACCAGAACAACAGGGATCAATCAGCTCAAATCAATCCAACAAGGAAAGTTGGCCGCTGGTGCCGTTGCTGCTTGCAGCACGGCAGATGCTTTGCCCATCGATGTTTGCCCTTCTGGCCATTAGGTGGGCCTAGTCTCCTGCGCGAAATGGGACAACGGACGGTTGAAAGTAGATAAAGGCAAGCACATGCTTTGATTTCAGGTCCAACCACCCCTAGCAGATCATGTATGCCTTCGAATGGACAAGAACGTTTCGGACAAGAACGTTTCGGCTGGTTTTCATGAGCAACAGAAAGAGACCAACTGCCTGGATGGCGAATCTGTTCCCTTTGTGCCGGGTAAAGGCGAATTGCAGCAGCATGGCAAGTCGCCCCCCCGCCCCATCAAGGTGTAGCTCCGAAAGTGGCGGCGAGCTCCACGGCAAATTAGACCCAAGACGTGAGGTAGGCCGTACCACGTCTTTTGGCACCCCCCCCTCAAGAAGAAGCATGGAAGCGTACCCGAAGGCCCAAAGGCCACGCCCAGCCGCCTGCCAGGCCTGGCTGAGCCGTACTCCACAGACACGGACCCTCGGGGTGGGGATTCCCGAGTCAGATTCGCAGTGGCATGGGTAATGCAGACTTTAGTGAGGAATTTCCCAAAAGGTCAATCCAAAGCACGGCCAGTTGCAATAAATCCTTTGACGTGAACACCACGACTACCGTATAAAAATATATACACTGATGAGCTACTGTTTATTGATAAACTGCATATAAATAGAACATGTACCAGCAGGTGAAGCTATTAGTACACAAACTACAAGTGTTTCTGATTGAGCAAGTACTTCCAATAGTCTCCAGTGCACAACACAGCAGGAATGTTGAAGTGGCATGAAGCGGCTTCTTGTTTGCTTGACGTAAGGTGGACGTTCTTCAGATGTGTTCCTGAGTGCACCGCATGGCTGAGCGTTGTTTCTTTGCATTTAATTTCGTTGTGTTCGGTGTGACGTTCGTTTTGGGGCCGGGGCGCTGGAAGCGAGCCTCGGGAAGGGCACAGTGCAAGCGTTGGGACTTTGCGGCCAAAGGTTCACAAAGGTTTGCCACGAGGATCTCATGATGTCCACCGCGCCGCGGCACCCCTTCTTCTACCAGGCAGGCTTTGTTGTGTTGTTGTGACGCAACCGGCCACAACGGCAGCTTCTGGTGTGCATGTGCCAGATGTTTGCATGTCAATCCTTGCATATCCAATCCCGAGGGATGAGCAATAGTGGTGTGCGAGCATTCTTTGTGTTTTGGCGCCGAAAAATCTGACCAATTTTGATGTGATTTTATGTTATTGAAGAAAGGTGACAGAAGACATGCTTGAAGAGTTTGCTGTTCATGTGCGCAGCTTGGCGACGGCTAGTCTTCCACAGCTTGATGACTTGGTTGTCCCAGTGCTAGTGGACCGTTACATCAAGCTCCATGGGGTTGGGCACCCTGTTTCCATGGACGACACATGCGGTTCGGTAAACAAATGCCACAACGTATGATAATTTGGGATGTGGGGGGCTACATGTTCCTCAAAAAGTCCAGGCCAGGGAACCGCATATGTTGACCGTGCGTTACATGGGAGTTGGCTAACTGTTGTACGGGTCCCACACGCAATCAGCCGCTGCAGGCCTTGGTTTCCATTCGCGACTATGCGCGGCAGCACAATCAGACAGTTTGCGGAAGAGATCGGTGCTCGCCTCAGGATAGCAGCAGCAGCAGAGGTGTTTGAGATGCAGCCAAAGATTTGAAGACACATGGCGCCACATGGCCACTCCTTGTGTGCCAGCACTCAGCTTATCAGACCTGTTGCTTCTTTGAGGCGCACGCCGACTTACGACCTCATGTTTCTGACTGATGCTTGCCTAAATTCCGTAGTTAGAATGTTTGCCATTGCTCCCATGCGACGGGTCCCTCCCTGTTGCAACTGCGCCGTGTGTTACGACTATCAAAGTCACTTTCATATGGAAAGGGTCACGAAAGCGTTGAAATGAGTTTGAGGTGTTGCTTTGGGCCCTGCACGAGCAAAAGGCACCACTCTTCGCCCATGATGTGTGCTGCTTGCTTACAGTCAGGCCTTTTGTGTTTTGCTTGCTTGGGGTCTCGTTTGGAGGCTACTTGGTTTGCAATCTGTTTGTAAGCTTTATTGGTGGTTTGAGGGGGCATTGGGTCGTACCTTCCCCATACATGTTCCCATTTCGCGCATACTGGAAATCATGTATCAAGACGGACCTTCAATCCACTTTCCGGTGGGTCATGGCCTCTGCGGGACAAGCTCAGGCTTGGGGACGGCTCTCCATGTGCACACGCGCCTGGACAGAGCATGGAATGAACCACAGCGGGCTGCAGCTCCTGGAGACGTGGCAGCAAGTCCCAAGATTTTGGCTGTCCCCTCAAGGCTAGCTCGATGCCCAGAAGCAGGCCCATCCGGTTTTTGTTCCTTCCCAAAGCTTTGAAACGGAAAGGCTTATATAAATGAACGGTCTGGGCGACTGGTTTGCAGCAGGCAAAAGGTCACGCGTTTGCACGGAATTCCGAGGCAAACGGGTGCATAGACTTGGCACAACTCTACACAGATCTTGGCATCAAGCATTGCAATGGTTATCAGGGTTCCCCCACTAGGGAATCCTTCAACCCACAATTTTGGCTCAAGTAGCTCGAATTGAAGATGGACCTTTGAGTTTTTTGTTGAACCCATTCCAGCTACAACTCTCTGGGCCACGGTTTAGGTGACGCTATTCGGCACCATCGGTTGACAGACTTTCCGGGTGATCCATCTCCCGGAGCATTTTCCGGAATTGACTATCAGGTATTACCGGATACATTTCACGGCTTGCTTCAAGCATTTGCTGCTTGGAAGCCGCGTCAAGTTTGTTGCTGGCTGCTGACATTGCCAGCTTGCAGCCACACCTTCAACCTGAAGCACGGGCAGTTTTGCTCGCTCTTCGGGGGAGGTGGGCTTTTGCAAGGCGGATGAAGAAGGCTCAAGAGGCAGACCAAGGCACAGCCCTTGGGTCGTGACGGTTCGCGACGCAACGATGCATTGGTCCCCAGGAAGCGCATTTGCCATTTGGGCGCGCATGCGTCACCCCTTGACTTGTTGCCATCGCTGATCACTTTGACCAACGTGCCAGGCTGCAAGCGGTGCCTGCATCCTTGAAGCATGCGAAGCACCGGCAAAGTACTTCTGTTGAGTTTAGTGCTCGGCGTTTCATTGTTGTGAAAATGCACAAAACCAGTTCAAACGATAGGGGGCTCTCAAAAAAACGGTACCCTTGGACGCAGTTATGTTTATGCTCACGTACTTTTTGCTTTTGTGCGGGGTCGCGGTTATCTCTTTAACAGAATGCTCGCGCCCATTGGAACCGGATAGCGGGCTCCGATACTATATTTGAACAAGGCACTCGCTATACGCAGGCTGCTTGTGCTGGGGCACGCCTGCAAGCGACTCCCGCCTTTCTGTGGACCTTGGCCCTTTTGCCCGCCAGCGTTTGTCCCCTTGGTCCCACATTGTTCAAAAACCAAGCCTTAGCCTTCATTCCTGATGGCAGTGGTTGGTTACCCTTCTTGCTAGTTTCCTGGCCAATTGCACGACCACGTGCGCAGCGCACAAATTGTTTCCACAATGCTGGAGATGCATTTTGCCTGCGCAGGGTGCTCCGAGATTGGAGGCGTGGTGAACGCTGTTTGGGATGCGCGCTCGCCTTGTCTTGTGGTTCCGCGCAGACGTGGCAAACGAAGTGTGCATGCTATGATATGCTATGTCAGTTGGGTGCACCAAGTTGCCGGGCGCGGGTTGCGAGGTGCACGCACGCAACGCAATCGTAGTCATTTCTTGCGCATTGGGAAACTGGGCGGGATTTTCTAATGTCTTGGCAAGCGGCCTGAACGATACCCCAAACAATACCTGAACGATACCGGGAAAACGTAGAAATACGGCCAGACTACCGCTCACCCAGACTCATGCTGCTACACACCACTGTTCCAACTCCAAGGCTGTCATTCTTGCCTTCCTCCCTCCCTCCCTCCATCCCTTCCTTCATCCATTCCTGTCTCCTTCCGTCCTTCCCTCCTGCCTCTTCCACCTTTCTGCCTTCCTTTCCTCCTTTCCTCCCTTCCTTCCTCCCTTCCTCCCTTCCTCCCTTCCTCCCTTCCTCCCTTCCTCCCTTCCTCCCTTCCTCCCTTCCTCCCTCCCTCCCTTCCTCCCTTCCTCCCTCCCTCCCTTCCTCCCTTCCTCCCTTCCTCCCTTCCTCCCTTCCTCCCTTCCTTCCTCCCTTCCTCCTTTCCTCCCTTCCTCCCTTCCTCCCTGCCTCCCTGCCTCCCTGCCTCTCTTTCTGCTCCTCTTCTTCTATTCCCGCAGCACTTGTAGACTGAGAAGTGTCAAAAAACGCAGGAACACGACAGGGGGCTCTCACAACTAAGTGGCGAACCGGCCGCAAGTCAGTAATTTCGACTGTGCCTCATGTGGACACAGACGCCCTGCAAAGCAATGTTGCCAGACTGCAAAGAGAGCATCAAGAAGCGACCTTGAGCCGCGTGTCAAGGCTTGCGCCCGCAAAATCACAAGCGGGCAGCGGGCAGCATCGCTGAAAAATAGCTTCCGCTTGGAGTCTCGGCGGGTGGCAGATTTTCGCTTGAGGCCGCAGGTATTTGTACGACGAAGTGAGCCTTTTGCAGCAAGCATGGTTTTGGGCTGCCCGGGGTTGAAATCCATAGAAACATGCGCCCAAGATAAGACAAAACGCGCAGAGTCGCAGCAGAACTCGCGTTTAAGATTGAATAGCGAAGACGCATCAAAGGCGTGCGCAAGCGGCTTCCATTCCCACGAACGTCGCAGGGCTGTGGAAAGGGACGACCGCGACGCGCGC